GGTCGAGTCCAGCCGCGGCGACGATGGGGGGCCCTCGGCGACGCAGCCCGCAAGCCCAGGTGCGGGGCGCCGCCGCGCGGGGGGGGGGGATACCATCTGAATATTCTCGACGGCGCCCACGCCCAGATCTACATCGGTCAGTGGCGCCCGCGCGGCAGGGGAGGCGCAGGCTTCCCAGCGGCCAGGAAGTAGTCGAGAGGCACGTCGGCTGGCCCCGAGGGCACGTTCACGCCGTAGTCCCCGATGTTCGAATCGGAGTCATCGGCTGCCGAATTGCAGGGTATTTCACGTACCGAATGCCACTGCAGCCCTGGAAAGTGTCACCGTTGTAGCAGAAGTCCCCGTAGCCATCGTAGCCTATGTGACCGTAGTCGCGGGGTCCCGCGCAGCACGGGTGGCCATCGCAGTTCTGGATGGTAGCGTCGCCCGGGGGACCGTACGCGCCAAGCGAGGGCACCCTTACGATCACATCCTTAATGCACTCGGTGTCGTACTTGTCGTCGTGTTTTTTGCGTCGTACTTGCTGTCGTCCTTGGGCGCCCTCGCGAGGGCGGCCGCGGCAATGGAAATGACATCGTCGGATCGAGATTGTATCCAATATCGGACGTTGTACCCCGCACATTTTTGAGCCACGCCCGTTCGCGCCCGTGCTTCCCTATGCGCTTACGGTCTCGGCAGACTTGCCGGTAGGTCTCCACCAAGGTGGGCAAGTCTCGTAGCCACTAACTAATGATGAAGACGCCCGCTTGGTAATTCAACAAGGGCTGGTTGACGTTGCAACCGCGGTGAATCACTTTTCCCGAATGTTCACCCTCCGGCGGATGATGTTCTAGTCGCGGTTGATCACTTATCGTGGCACGCGCGCCACCCGCATCCACTTGCACGGCGGCGCGCTGAGGCCAGCCCGCCAAAGGCTGGCCGCGCGGGCGGGGCACGGCGCCAAAGGAGACTGCGGGAGATAGACCCGCAAACGGCCTCCCTCTTCCTCGTCCTCCTCCTCCTTCTCGTCTTCCTCCTCCATGTCCTCCATGTACTCCATGTCCTCCATATCCTCCATGTCCTCCTCCTCCTCCTCCTGATCCTCCTCCTCCTCCTCCTCCTCTTCCTCCTCCTCCTCCTCAACCTCCCTCCTCAACCTCCTCTTCCTCCTCATCCTCCTCAACCTCTCCTCCTCCTCCTCCTCCTCCTCCTCCTCCTCCTCCTCCTCCTTCTCGTCCTCCTCCTCCTCCTCCTCGTCTTCCTCCTCCTTCTCGTCCTCCTCCCTCCTCCTCTCCTCCTCCTTCCTCCTCTCCTCCTCCTCGTCCTCCTCGTCCTCCTCCTCCTCTCCTCCCTCCTCCTCCTCCTCCATCCTCCCTCCGGCTTCTCCCTCTCCTCCTCCTCCTCCTCCTCCCCTCACCTCATCCTCCTCCTCCTCCTCCTCTTCCTGCTCCTCCTCCTCCTCCTCCTCCTCCTCCTCCTCCTACTCCTCATCAACTCCTGTTCCTTATAAATAACTTTCCCCTGTCGCACCCCGAGGCCGGTTTTTTGGGCGGTTTGGGCGTTTCGCCTGAGACTTCCTCACCGCTCATGTCCCTGAAGCTCAAAAATTGACCAAAATGTGGCTCTCGCCTTAGCGCCGCGCACATTCGTTTACTCCTGCTCCTTATAAATAACTTTTCCCTGTCGCACCCCGAGGCCGGTTTTTAGGGCGGTCTGGGCGTTTCGCCTGAGACTTTCTCACCGCTTATGACCCTGAAGCTCAAAAGTCGACAACAGCTTCACAAATGCTGGGCGGGTGGTTTTCAAAATGTGGTTCTCGCCTTAGCGCCGCGCACATTCGCTCTAAACATGTGCAAGAGCTTCACGGTTTGAGGGCGGGTCGTTATCAAAATGTGGCTCTCGCCGTAGCGCCGCGCACATTCGTTTTAAAACATTGCAACAGCTTCACGGATTAAAGGCGATTCCTTTTCAAAATGTGGCTCTCGCCTTAGCGCCGCGCACATTCGTTTTGAACATGTACAAGAGCTTCACGGATTCCCATGATCAGCGTACCAGAAGTGGTGTGTTGGACGGAGTCAGGATTATGGCGGCGCAACAGTTACGTTGATTCGCAGCGTTGAAATCCCAAGAATGGCGTTCTGGTACGATTCAGGATCGTCAAGACGCAACAGTCATGTTGATCCGCGGCGTTGGATTCCCGAGAACGAAGTTTTGGCATGCATCCAGGTTTCCAAACGGTTGTCTTCCAACGAAGCAGCCCCCAAAGTGAAAATGAACCCTTGTAGGGGCCATGAAGAGGGAGTCTGGAGGGAGGGTATTTTTTCAACATCCTTCATGACTCTTCGGTTTGCTTACACTGGTCATTATCCTCCTCCTCCTCGTCATCATCATCATCATCATCATCATCATCATCATCATCATCATCATCATCATTACCATCATCATCATCATCATCATCATCATCATCATCATTATCATCATCAGCAGCAGCACCACCATCATCATCATCACCACCATCATCATCATCATCATCATCATCCTACAATCCAAATTGTCCTCCTGCTCCTACGAACATTCAACATATCCCCTCTTCCGCCTGCTCCTCCTCCTCTTCCTCTTCATCATCATCCTCATCATCATCATCTGCAGCATCAACATTATCATCATCATCATCAGCATCATCATCATCAGTTTCATCATCATCATCATCATCATCATCATTCGACTCATTGCCACCACCTCCACCATCAGCATCATCATCAGCGTCACCATCAGTATCACCATCACCATCATCATCACCATCATCATCATCATCATCAGTATCATCATCATCATCATCGTCAACATCATCAGAATGATCACCATCACCACATCACCATAACCAATATCGTCACATTCGCCATCAGCAACACCACCACCATCAGCAGCAGCATGAGCATCAGCATTATCATCATCATCATCATCCTCATCATCATCAGCATCATCATCAACATCAGCATCATGACCAAGATGATGATGATGATGATCATCATCATCATCATCAGCATCATCGGTATCATCATCAGCATCATCATTATCATAAATATAAGCATCACCATCGTCATCATCAGCATCATCACAATCAGCATCATCAGCCATCATCAGAATCATCATCGTCACCACCACCATCATTATCATCATAATCATCATCAGACTCACCAGTGTCATCATCAACAGTATCATCAGCATAAGCATCATCGTCATCATCGTCGTCATATGCAGCAGCCTCAGCATCATCATCACCATATTCAACAACAGCAGAACCATCATCCTCAGCATAAGCTTCATCATCATCAGCAGCATCATCACCAGCCAGCGTGAACGTCATCTTGATCAGATCATCATCATCATCATCATCATCATCTTCTTCATCATCATCATCATGATCATCATCATCATCACCATCATCATCATCATCATCAGACTCATCATCATCATCATCATCATCATCATCATCATAATCATCATCATCATCATCATCATCATCGGCGGCGGCGGCGGCGGTGGTATCGTCGTCGTCATCGCAATCACCAGTATCATCACCATCATTAACAACAACAGCAACAGCAACAGCAACAGCAACAGCAGCAACAACAGCAACATCACTATCATCATCAGCATCATCATCAGCATCATCATCATAATCAGCATCATACTTATCAATATCGTTACCATCAGCATCATAATCATCATCATTGGCATCATCATCATCAGCATCATCAGCTTCATCGTCATCATCTGAAACGTCATCGTCGTCGTCGCCATTGTCATCCCCTTACTTCCTCACCTCCTCCCCTCCGAAAAAACTCCTCCATATCGCTCCCCGAGACGTCTCGATAGGGGGATGGGCGCCTCGCACGAGACTTCCTCACGGAAAGATGCGACGCAATTCCTTGTTTAACAACGGTGCTCTCGCCTGAATGGGATGTCTATGGGGTGATCTTTTTTCGAGAGGGCGCTCCTTGCAGTGCAGACAGGGCATGTAGGCACTTGCAACTGGGGGTTTGGAACGGGAGGGTGTGTTGCAGCACCGTTGATGCATCCTTGGATTACGCTGGCCCTCCACCGACTCATTTCCTCCATCTGCTCCATGTGATAGGATCCTCCTCCTCAACCTCCTCCTCCTCCTCCTCCTCCTCCATATCCACAACCACCAACTCCTCCTCCTCCTCCTCCTCCTCCTCCGTATCGACGCTATCCTCGCGTGCATCCTCCACATGCTCATAGCGCCGCGTGCTGTAGCCTTCAGATGTATGACTCCTCCTCCTCCTCCACCTCCTCCTTCTTCTCCTCCTCCTCCTCATCATCCTCCCCCTCCTCGTCATCCTCCTCTTCGGCCAGCGCCGCCAACGCCGCCGCCGCGTCGTCTCCCTGATTGTATTCCTTGAGCTCCCATCGTGGTCTGATCTGAGTTGACGTCGCCATTGCGAGCATGCGAGCATAATCGACGCTAGCAACTCTGCCGACGCCCTCGGCATCGCCCTCGTTCGCACACCGATCGATCCGTTCCTCTTCAGTATTGCGGCTGACTTCCTGCAAGAAGCGAATCAGGCGGATGACGGGAGCGCAGGCCATTATTCCACCCACTGAATACACCGAACAGATCTGCACTGTGGAGGATGAGAAGGATGAGGAGGGGAGAACCCAAGAGAACGAACGAGGAGAGGGGAGAGGGACAAAGGGGAGGGAGCAGCGATAGAGGAATCAAAAAACATAATCAACGTAAACTTTCGGAGCTCCACGCGGGTTTCTTGGATCGGCGCTGGATTCCCCTCCCTGGCGCGCTCCGCGCGCCAGGGGCGGCGCCAGCGGCGCCGCCACGGGGGGCTAACGCCGATCCAAGAAATCCAATTCTTGTTTTTCGAAAGAAGAACTGGGGGCGAGGGAGCGGAGAGGAGAGATGGCACAGGATGAGCAGGAAGGTGAGGGAGGGGGAGACGGAGGAGGAGGCGAGGGCAAAGGCGCTGAGGCGAGGCTGCAGCCTGCAGCCCGACCAGAAGGCCAGCTCGTGCTCGCGCGCGTCGTACAGGCTGCTGGACCGCTGCTGCACGATGAAGCCGGTGAGCACGAAC